ACGACGACGTCGAAGTAACCCCATGCCCTGAGCTTGAGATTCTCCCAAGGCAAGGCCGTTTTACATGACGAGTCGAGGATGACATGCACCAAGCCGTCATCGCCCTCGAGCGCACGGCCAGATACTCTTTCAAACATTCGGCGCATGTGCTCCATGTACACCTGGACGTGGTGTTTGCCCTCTTTGTTGAATCCGAAGCTGTCGTAGGAGAACACTGCTGCATCCTCGGCACCGCCAGCCTTCGTAGACATGTCGCATGGGACGTCCCAGCCCTCAGCCTTGCGAATACCTTCAGCGGCGGCCTTGGAGAGCACCGGGCAGTTCAAAAAAAGGCGTGGACAGTGCGCCTCCTCGTTCGAATCGGGAGGAGCAGGCACAGCCATCCGATCCTAGAAGGGCTGCAAGCAAAGTATGACACGGACCTACTGGACTGACTGGTCTCTGCCATTTGCCGCCTAGCCTCTAGGACAGAGACGGCCCAAAGCAGCACACGACGAACGAGGGACAACATGGCGAGGCGGCTATTCCTACACCGAAAAACCTCGAGCATCCTCCGTGCCGTGAGCAGGTAGCATCCAACACACGATAACTGTGGACAACCGCATCTCCCTTCTCTTGCAGATGGCCTGGACAGCCACTGGCTTCTCACGAAGGGTTCGGCCTGATTCGCAAGCTGCGTCGGCTAATGTCGGCTATGTGCTGCTGGCCGTGTCCTCAGTTCTGCCACGGGACACAAATCACGGAGCTCTTGACGAGAGAGATTCGCATGAAGGCGGCATACTTCTAGCCTCAGAACCGGAGTGAGCAGAGATATTGTTGCCGCCACCAGTGCAAAGCATCACAGCCCAATTTGCAGTCACGGCACAGCTCGTCAGCGAGATCTCGTCGGCCGGGAGGCGTGAACCCACCTAGCTAGAGTCTAGAGGTGGCCGAGTAAGGATAACACACCTCACAAACACCATTCGATTCCGTATTGCAATGCTTCAGCAGCAAAAAAATCACACCTGATTCAGCAGGGCGGCAACCCACTGCGACTGCTCCCCATGTCGCATCACAGGTTTCACAGCCCCAAGTCGCTGTTGCTCGCCAGAGGTCTGGGATTTCTTCTGCTTGGGAGGCCTTACTCAAACATAGAGAGACACGAGCAGGCGACTGCACCAAAACACACTAAAACAGAAACGAAAACTTACATCTTCGGCGCCAGGATACATGATCCAGGCGATCACGAATGTCTCTGAAATCCAGTCGAGATTTCCGGACGATTGCAAACGAGGGAGCACAGTAAACTGGAATGACGGTCAAGGGATGTGAGCTGTCTGCAACCGTCTGCTGCTATCTGCTGCTGCTCTGCTTCCACTGTCCATGTGTGCACAGTCGAAAGTTTGTACATGGCCTGCAACAGTCTGCTGCTATCTGCTGCTGCTCTGCTTCCAGTTTCCATGTGTGCACAGTTGAGAGTTTGTACATGCCTTCTCGCTTTCGCTCGCTTTCTCTCTACCTCGCTCGCAATCTTGATGAGCAGGCGGCCGCAAGCAAACATGACGACTCAATGACAGAGGTGGCGCTTGGTTCTTGTAATGGTTTTCAGTATGCAAAAGAAAGGACCCTCCAATACATTCCATGCCCTGTGTCCCCTGAGGGACCGCATAGGAATGTATTGAAGGGTCCCTCCGGACCCACCCTCCGATACATTCACAAACCTGGGGGGATGTCAGTTCCATCACAAACATGACAGGAGTTTGCCCAGTCAAAGCCACTCCGATTCTAAATCTGAGATGATCCACGTGACTGCACGTCTGTCAAAGGGTCAGAAGCTTGAAATACAGACCCCCTCCGGTATGCATTTATGCCCTGGGGATCACCGAGATGTGCGAAACAGTACGCCCCCCCCCCCCAGTATGCATTAGTTGGGGTTTCCCTCCAAAGCACTGCCCTTATGCTGCCCTAAACCCCTAAACCCTAAAGACCCTGAACCCTAAACCCCAAGACCCAATCCTGGACTCCCGGAGCCAAGTTAAGCTTAAGTCGGCTTGAGGGTCTTAGCTTTTGCGTCGGGGCTGCAGATCTCACGATGACACCGTCTTAGTAGGGTTTAGCGGTGAGAGGTTCAGGGGTCTGGGATTTGGTAACTTAGGGTTTGGGAATTTAGGCTTTAGGGTTGCGGTTTGACGGTTTCTCGGAGGCATCATAGGCTCGAGCCTTTTGGAAACCGATGTGAAAAGTGAGGACTCCCCGAAGTGCAGCCGCAGACTGACGACGATTGGTTCGGTTTCCGAGGGTTTCGGTGCCCCGAGCCTCAACACCTCGACCCTGAAGCACAAAACGCCTTTAAGCCACAATCCCTGAAACAAGAGGAATAGAAACGGAGCCGAAGAAGCTCTTGGTAAGCGCTACAGACTCTAAAAGCCCAAGACACCAATGAACCTGCAAGATCCAAGCCCTCAACCTTCAACCGGCCTGTAATGACTCAATGTAGAAGCCGGCATGATAAGTTATGTGGTTGTAAATACCTTAAGGTGCCTTAATATAGTCTGGTGTACCTCCCGAAGCCTATTGAAACTGTTTTGGGCCGCTATGTTTCAGCTAATCATTGCTTCTCAAACGCCTTGAGGTTTCAGGCAAAAAGGTTTACATCGGGGCAATGGAGGTTTTCAGGGATGAACGTGCTTTCCGGCTGAGTGGCAGCATGCAGGGACTAGGCCCTAAACCCTAAACCCCTTGAGTAGGGTGTGAGAGCAGTCCTGCCTCTGGCCGCCTTTGGCGGACCAGGACGCCTCTACGGGCCTACATGAGGACGCACCAGCTGCCCCACCCTGCCCCAACCCAAAATAAAAATCCAAGACCCTGAAAGGTTTAGGGTTAGCTTATGTCCTGCAAGTTTGTTTGCATCCTAGGAGGCGTTCTTGCAGTATAGCTCAAGTTGTTGGACCTAAAACCGACAACCTTAGACATCCTGATTAAGGTTCATAAGGGGCTAGGACACCCCTTACTGATTAAGCTTTATAGGGGTTAGGAAATAGAATATATAGTAATGATAGTTAGCACACTCGTAACAGGTTCTATAAGAAACTACTATAAGGACCCTAAAACCTCTAAACCCTGAATCCTACATTCCTATCTACTCAAATCCATAGACTTCTAGGCCCTAAACCCTAAACCCCTAAAGTTATAATAGCCAAGCTTTGGGGAGCCCAGGGGAGTCTCACTCCTTGCCATCCCCGGTTGCCGGGTGGCGCCGAGCTGGAGCCAAAGATCCGCAAAGGATGGTCTTTATTGGGGGCCTGAATGGTTTAGAGTTTAGGGTTTAGGGTTTAGAGTTTAGGGTTTAGGGTTTAGAGTTTAGGGTTTAGGGTTTAGAGTTTAGAGTTTAGGGTTTAGGGTTTAGGGTTTAGGGTGTAGAGTTTAGGCTTTCGTTGGACTTGTTGTAGGAAGTTTGGGATTTTGGATTCGGGGTTAAGGATATTGGCCTTGAGGCGTCTACAAGCGGCAGTCGTAGGGTCCTTTGCAAGGGCTGCTGAGGGTCTTTGGGGGCTTGGGTTTAGGGTTTAGGGTTTAGGGGTTTGGGGGTTTAGGGTTTAGGGTTCAGGATTCAGCTTTAAGGGTTTAGGGTTTAGGGTTTAGTATTCCTAAGGATTAATGAGGCTCTTTGGGTTTTGCTGCGTCGGGATCTCCGGGCTTGCTGAAAGGATCATGGGACTTAGTAACTAGGGTTATAATTAGGGTACCTGTACCTATAACTACTTATAACTTATAACCCCAATAAAGGTACTTATAACCTGATTTACTAAGTCCCATGATCCTCCAAGTTGCGGTGATTCGGCTTAAAGGGATTACCTGTAGCCCCAAACCCTGCAACGTAGCAGGATATGGGAGCTTCCGAAACTAGGGGTACCTTACCTTGGGGTCCTTAGAATAAGGATCCTACTATTTAGGGTACCATATTGGGATCCCCTATTTTCGGAAGCTCCCATATATGATAGGACTTGAAATCAGGGGGATCCGGGGACGTAGACCCTCTCAATAAGCTCCCTGTTAAGAGAGACAGAAGTAGGGTTAAGAACTGTGTCCCCCTTGAAGGGAACCCCATTATAGAACCCTACTTGGAGGGTCGCGGGACTTAGTAAGTAGATAGTAAGTAGACTTATAAGTGCCCTAAAAGGAACTCTAATTGGGGTTATGATACTTACAAGTCCCTAAAATAACCAATTACTAAGTCCCCCGACCCTCCAAGTATGGTACCCTTAAGGGGTCTGCTGAGGGCTCTGGGCGCTCCGGGATTTCGATCTTCAGGTCAGTCAACGCTTCAGGGGTGATCGGGGGTTCGGGGATTAGGACGTAGAAGTTGGAGGGCCTGCGATAGGGGGCTACAGGTTCAGGATTTTGCTTCATCGTAAATTGTAACGCATGCCCGTTTCAGGTCACCAAAATAGTACGGCACCCTTATGGAGAGGACCCCAAACGGGACGCAAATTTACAGAACTAGCCCTATGTAGGAACCTGATTAGGCAACCCGGGTCCCGTAACCCCAAAATATTTGGATCCATATATATATATATATATATATATATATAGGGGTGGTTGTCAAAATTAGGGTCTCTTTTTGGGTCCCTATTTTAATACGGCACCTAATATTCAGGGTGCCCAAAAAGGGACCCTCATTTTGACAACCACCCGTATTCAAGGAGCCCTAACGACCCTCAGCCCTAAACCCTCACCCCTGAACTCTGAACGCCAGCCTTTCTTTCTGTCTGAGCTGACCTTAGCGGCAGTGTAGAGTACACATGCCGCCATTATCCCTGGCTCGGAAGAGCTGCGCATCCAGGAGGTTTCGTGCTTAGGGCTTCGGGTTTACGGTTTCGGGTTTAGGGGTTTAGGGTCAGACAAGCTCAATGCAGTGGTTCAACTAGCTAAGATTTCCACCGCCAGACCTACAACAAGAACAAGCCTTCATCACAGGGAAGCCGCAATGGCGAATTTCGAATTCCGTGCTGGCAAAACTCTCACTTCAGCTCGCTCCAACTCCAGCCCCATCTCACCTCAGGGCTGGATCAGGGTCTACCTAGACCTACTAAACCCTACTTTTTTGTAGGTTCTTATTATAAACTTTAACATGGGATCTATAGGGGCCCTACAAAAAAGTAGGTTCTGGTAGGTTAAGGTACAGCTTAGGCCTCATATGACTCAGTCCAGGATGGGCTGAAGTGCCACGAGCGAGAACCTTTAATCCCGGGTCTTTGTAGGATTTCCTTCAGGCTTTGATGTTGCTCTGTACTTGGAGGTTCATGGGGAGTTATAAGCTATAGTTATAACCCATATTAGGGGACTTATCACCCCACTTATAACTACCCATGAACCTCCAAGTAGGGTTGCTAGAGGGTTTAAACTAGGATTGCTAGGGGGGTTACCAGCCAAGCAAAAAGGTTTAGTTCCGTGTATGGACCTTCGTCATTAGAGTAGGGCTTCCGGGGTTCATGCGCGGGTACACAGGCATTGCCTGAAGAGGATGTTATTACGACTTGTTCAGACCCGAAGACTTTGTAAAGGATCAAGGGATGACAGTACGAACCAGAGCAAGATACTTGTCGCCCCTGATGGGAGCCGGGGGGGGGGCGCAGGATATGGAGCCCTTTCGGATTTGAGTCAGGAAACCTGCAAGCAATAATAAGCTTTAGGCTTAGTTTTGCTTAGGGGGGTTCAGGGATGTGAGGGGTTTAGGGCTTCGGGTGAAGTGACTAGGTGGTAGCAGACGAACCACTTTCTACAAGGCTGGATCCAAGCCTGAACCTCCAGCTGACAAACTAAGCCCTGACCCTACTAAACCCTATATCCGTGCCCTAACCGCTGAGACCTTAAACCGCTGAACTCTAGAACCTGACCCCTGAAACCCTAACCCCCGAACCGACACTTTAAACCCAAAACCCTGAACCCTGACCACGAAACTCTGACTCCAACCACCTGAACCGAGCCAGGCAACCGAAATCCCGCTTTCGCCCAGCACTGCACCGGGGAAGAGTCGGCACCAGGCATCCTCAAAGCGAGAGGGCGCAGGGCTTTGGAGTTTAAGGTGTCGGTTTTGGTGTGTAGAGATTCAGTTTAGGGTTTGGGATCTGGGATTTAAGGTTTAGGGCACCGAAGGGACGTGATCTTGGCGTGGTAGACCAGTGGCCCTCTCTGGTATTTCACTGACACGTTGATTTCATAGTGTGTGTCTACTCTGACAGCATTGCTGTCCTTCTTACAGATATAATGACGCAGTACACACACACACTCTCTCTCTCTCTCTCTCTGTCTGTCTCTCTGTCTATGTATGCATATAGGGTTATGTTATATTGTGATATCTTTAGTATATGATAATTACATACATTTCACAGTTAATTACAAATAGTTAAAACATAAGCAAATCCATACACATCAGCGTGTACTGTAGGAGTCGCAAGCCACGCCTCCATCGCTTCTCGAAGCGCCCGTGCCGCCTGCTCCGCAGCCTGACAGTCCCAATGTCGTTCAGGGTTTAGGGATCTGGCCCAAAGGGTCCTATGTACTGTTATGGGGGATACTTCCCTAAGTCATAATAGTAATTCCTAACATGGAAACCCTACATTCTACTATATCGGTACATTGGACCCTTTGGGTGGGTGTGGGGTGAAAGGGTTTGGGGTTTAAGATTACTGTGCGGGTTCCTTTAAAGCCAACTATGCGGACAGCGACTGATCTCGAGCAACGTGGGAGAATGAGAACAGGCGGAAAGAACGCAGAGACTGATGACGAATAAGAGGCGACATCATGACAATGAGCCGAGACCAACCATTGCTTGTTCGGAAGGATTTGCCCGAGATGCTGCAGTGTCCGTGCTCTCCAGAAGGAACTCGTCGTGCACCACACATACCTTTGAGTTCTGACAGACAAAGTGGAGCGTCGTTACGAATGTGTTTGGCTCAACACATGCGTGGACCTATATATACCCTCAAACCTAACATCCTCATGGTCAGGGTGTTGAAAGAAAGGAGACGGAAACACGCTACCGGAGAGATTGAGGGTCTTGTGTGTACGTTGCTCCAGCTTTTATGATACAACGGCTTGAACATCTGAGGTTTCTGTTGTAAGTTGCACGTTGGGCACTATAGGGGCCTCAGTAATTAGAATAGGGTTTTGGGTTTATTATAATTTAATTAGGAGCCCAAAATAGTATCAGTAATTGTTTAGGCCCCTATATTAGGCTGCCCTAAAGTTTGTAGGGTAATGACGCCAAAACGCCCAGATGAGTCTTCGGCCTGCGTCAAGAAGATCTTCAGGATGCTGTCCGCAGAGTGCATGTTGGCAGTGGTGAGATGGAAAACAGCGTGCTTTGGGCGTGGCGTCGGATTATTTCGATTCGATTCTGTCTTCACAACGGTTGCTGCGGCAAGACACATTGGCAAACTTAGGGTTCGCACACACAGGGTGCAGGGGCCTCAACGCTAAACGCCCAAACCCTAAACCCTAATCCCAGGGTGTGCTCCAACATCCTTCTGAACCCTTAACGATCCCTGAGAGGGCCCCGTATTGTTCGGTCCGTTAGACCCTTATAGGTGCCCAAAAGGATCGCTAAACCCTGAAGCCCCTTGACTCCCAAGAGCCCTTGTAATAAGGAACTTGGGTACGGCCCCCCCATACAGTAAGAGTCTATCATAGGCCTACTATTAAGGTCCTAATATACCATTATGAATATTACTCAACTATTTCTGAGTGGGGGCCGTACCTAATAAGGAACCTTGCAAAGGAGCCTTGCTCAGGAATCTTAGGAAGAGCCCTTATGACGAGTGCGAAAACCTAAACCCCACAAACCCCCAAACCCAATGAACCAAACCCTTGAACCGCTACACCTCTGAAGCCTAAACCTGAGAAACCCGAACACCCCAAGCCAAGATGCCAGTCTAGTCGATTCCGAGGCCCGTTGCAGAAAGGGGCGCAAGGACTCCAAGCAGGCCTCTGCACAGCGCCATAAGGGCCCGAATTATGAGGGTTGCCAAGGGTTTGGAGTTTAGGGTTTTGGGGTTTAAGGCTTAGTACCTATGGTTCCTGTAAAGATTGCCTTTAGCGGAGAATGTAAGGGCTAATTAAACGCAGGTTCTGTGATACAGGGGCCTGAATCACATTTATTGGACTACTTCAAAGGCTCCATGAGGGTTGCCATAAGGGCCTTGATCATTCGAACAGGGCTTGGAGGTATATTATACTCTATTTTCTATAGTGCGACAAGGATCCCCAAACAAAGAACCTAATACCACAGATCTTTGTTCGGGGGCCTTCTTTTACATTAAAACCGTTGGCACACCAGAACAGAGTGCACGTGCAAACTGATGTGCAAACTGATGCGAAGGACTCCAATTTCAAGCAACCCCTGAAGACTCATATGGGTGGTTGCCAAAATTATGGTCCGTTTTGGGGTGCCTTATATAGTATGGCACCTAATAGATACCATAATTTTGACAACCACCCATATGAGCTCACAAGCAGTTCATGTCATGTACCCTAGACAAGAAATCCTCGACCCCTAAACCCCAAAGGGCTTAGGTTGGTTCCGGCACGCAGCTTCAGGATTTCTGGGCATGTTGGTGTTTACGATGTAGGCATACAAGACCCAGAACGCGAAACGCTGGACCACTAGAGCTCTGAACCGCGGAACTCTCAACGCAGCGCAGGGGCCAACATCACCTCGGCCGCTGTTCCCTGCACAGGGAAGTTGATCGCCTGAGGCCAGGCATTGACTCGGAGTAGGGCTGAGGCTGCCGGGAGTAGGGTTTAGAGTTTCGGGTTCCTCTAGGGCTACTCTACTATACTGTAAAGGTTCAGGGTTTTAGGGCTGCTTTACGGCTACTATAAGGTCTGCTTTCGGGGGCTACTATAAGGGTAAGGCGCTACTATAAGGCTACTGCAACAGTTGCTAAAGGCATACACGGGCTTTGGGTTACGATAAGCGTATAGGGTTTAGAACAAAGGGCTTGGGATTCTTTCACGGAAGGCGAGTCCGCTGAAATCAAATTCCCTTCTGCAGGATTGAATTTGCTGACCCCTTAGGGTTTAGGGTTTAGGGCCTCTCCTGAATCAAGCACCAGCATTGAAGATCCTGCATGCTCAGTGCCTAATCATGGTTTAGGCTTTTGGGTGGAATACCTCGACCCGATAGACAGATTGACAGGTAGATAGATAGATGCAGAGGTAGATAGATAGGTAAGTGGACAGGCACGTAGATTAGATAGCCAACAGATAGGTAGATCAAGAGGCAGATAGGTAGGTAGATAGGTGGACAGGTAGATAGATCGATGAAAAGATAGAAGCAGACAGATCTATATGGCTTTTGGGACCCCGAATACCATATGCCAAGTTCAATAGCCCTCTGTACTTCAACAGTCCTTGATACAAACTGCAAATAAGTCCTATCGAACCGCCGAAAGTTTGTAATACAGGACATGCAAACAAGCTCCCAAGGAGCAGTCAGGCGCTTGAAGAGTCGCCTACGGGCTCCTACCCAGAGCCTCCAAAACCTCTTAATTAAGGAATATACCTTAAATTAATAGGATCCCTTATATGATTTAAGGTATACTCCTTAAATCATAATAGGATCCCTTATATGATTTAAGGTATCTTCCTTAATTAAGGGGTTTTGGAGGCTCTGGGTACAGCTGCAGGTATTGCGCGCCTCGCGCTGGAGCCGGCCAGCAGAACTCGGATCACCTTTTAGAGTTTAGGGTTTCGGGTTTTAATATAGGGGCCTGAATCAATTAGAGCAGAGTTTTGGGGGGCCATCATGCGATAATTTGGAGTTTAGGGTTTTAGGTTTTAATATAGGGGCCTTAATTCATTAGAATAGAGTTTTGGGGCCCATGATGCTATAATTACAATAAGGAACCACCAAAATAGTATAGGTAATTAATAGGGCCCCTATATTATAGGGTTTAGGGTTGTTTTAGGGCCTTAAGCTCATGCAAAGGATCTACGACTGCAGCCGTTCAATCCAGGGAGATCACCGACATAGCAAAGGCACTCCACCTCTTTGCTGACAGGCTGCTTTGCAGTCCGCCCTGCAGTTCCTGCAAAGCTGGAGGTGGGAAAGAAGAGACGGTTAACAGCATGATGTCACGATCATCACTGGGAAAAAGTATATACTTTTTTGCTTTCTTATTTTATAATAGGAACACAGAAACCTGAAAGTAAAAAAGTGTACCACTGAACAGTCTGGTCATTGACTCGATGCGAAGCTCTTGTTGTTTGGTCGGTTCGATGCTAGGATTCCCAGTAACCTAGGAATAAAGAAGGGCTCCCTTTTTGGAATTGGGTAACTTTATAAGGAACCTAGGACTACAAAAAGGGACAAAGGGCCCACTGGGAGGCTTAGGACGTGTCCAGCCCGGCAACCTTGGGTGCAACCGTTCCTGCAGAAGCCAATCTTCAAGCGAAATGCCGCCACCGCCACCACCACGACCACCACCACCAACAACAACATCGACGCTGCCATGCCGACACCAATCTCATGATCCGTAGGAACGATGAAGGTGAGCATGAAAGGGCAAAACGACGACTTCTCCGGAAACGATCATAGTCATAGACATAGTCGAATAGCATCTTGCAAAAATAAGCCCTAAAGTCATAAACCCTTGACCTTAAACCCTTAAACCTTAAAACCCTCAACCCTAAAGTTATAAACCCTAGACCGTAAACCCTTAAGCCTTAAACCCTAAATGCCCTCGAAGCCTACCTTCCACTGCTTCACCAGGTGCCAGGCGACACGGCCGCCCGCGGTCTTCACCTCCTGCTAAACAGTGATTCTGACGCAACCCTACTCTTGGAGGTTCATGGGGAGTTATAAGTGGGGTTATAAGGAGGGCAACTATACTTAGAATCCATATTACTATACTGAACTTAGAACCCGTCCGAACAAAAAGGCCAAGCAATGACATCCCAAGTGACGATGGCCCTTAGCTCTATTCCATGCCAGTTCTATACTGAACTTAGAACCGCACCAAAAATTATGATTTTAGCTGTTTCTTAGGGATTTTAATTGCCAAAAATTAAAAATTATTTCTAAGTACTCCTAAAAACAGTGATTCGGACGCTACTTGGAGGGTCGGGGGACTTAGTAACTGGTTATTTTAGGGACTTATAAGTACCATAACCCCAATTAGGGTCCCTTCTAGGGTACTTAAGTCTACTTACTACCTACTTACTAACTCCCCCGACCCTCCCAGTAGGCATGAAAATTAACCCAACCTTCAACCGAAGAGCGTTTACGAAACAACAGTCCGAAGGTAAGAGTTGTTTGTGTGTTGCTGCTGGTAACGGTTAGCTGTAGGTGTGTTGCTCGCTTCTTGCTGCTGTTGGTGTTTGTGTGTGTGTGTGTGTCTATGTGTGGGATTTTTGCATTGGTGCGAAAGAAACACCCACCCCTCCGCACCAACAGCAAAACGAAACAACAAAACTAATCGATTCTCAGCTTTAGTCCCATCCTCATCTTCGTCACCGAGGCCACCACCGTCAGGTTTTGAGAGTCTCTGTGCTGCTGCGGTCATGTTGTGCCTTCACTCTTTATCATGTCAGTGTAGAGTAAGGTTGGCGGTTGATCACGGATTAGGCTGATCCTGAGACGGTACTTGTAGGTTCATGGGGAGTTATAATTAAGTGGGGTCAAAAGTAAGGTAACTATAGTGATAACCCATATTTGGGGACTTATGACCCCACTTATAACTACCCATCAACCTTCATGTAGGATCTTGATCCCCACATGCAACCCTGAATAAACACATAGTAAAGCCCTGTTTACTGCCTTCGAAACCCGTATGAAGCCCACCAAGACCCTGTAAACAATTTAAGATACCAAAACATGTATATATGGGAGTTTCCGAAAACAGGGGGCCCTAATATGGTACGCTAAATAGTAGGATCCGTATCATACGGACCCCCAAATAGATAAGGCACCGCTAATTTTAGGAAACTCTAGACCCTTATAGAGTCCTTTCAAGGAAACCTTTGTAGTACCCTTATAGTAACCCTTTAAAGGAACCCTAAGGTACACCTAACTTTCGGGAACTCCCAAAAGCCTTAGAGCCGGAACAAGATTGTCCAAGTCTCTGCGCCGCGCAGGACGGACTCGCGCTGGCGCTGCTGCCATTCGGCGACAGCAGGATAGGCCTGATCAATGTTTGGCAGAGGGCTGTGTAGGTGTCTAAAAGGGATTTAGGGGGTGTGTTTTATGATTTGAAAAGAGACCTGCGTATTCTGAATAGTTTGGCGGCATTTTCTAGCCTATTTAAGTATACGGAATACAGTCATTGTGCAGGGGATCATGCCAACACTTATACAGGCCTCTGTGTCATCCGTATAGCGAGCGGATGCAGGGCTTTGGGTTTCGTGTGGGTTTCACCTGGGAACTATCAGTCGAGAGCTCATAAATTGGTGGCGTCTCAGCGTAGGTTGTAGCCTACTGCGCCGCCCTTCATTCTGTTAGGACTTGGAAAGGACTCGTGGTGCGCCTGATACGTTTGTACCTCCCATCGTGTTGCATGGGTGGTGTCATGGTATAGAGTTTTGTTCCGTGAGGTCTAGCTCGACGTACAGCAATACTGGGGCATATCGCATGCCAAGTAATGCCCCCAATGCTCAAGGTTATATGCTGTTCTCTGCATCGGATATTGCATGGAAACATCTTCTGAAGCTCTCAGACGGCTGCTTGTTGGGACAAGGTCTCTTTTCCTTCTGGATCAGAGGACTTAGCAAGTCGGTTAAAAGTAGAGTTATAGTTTCGGGTAAAATAAGGATAACACCATCAAGGTACTTGCAGCTCTATGTACAGCCTTCTTACTCAGTCCAAGCTACTTCTGTCAGACTCATACCAACTCATATTAAGAGTGCAGAAATTCTAAGTTGCACCAGTGGAGAACTAATACTAATTAAGAGGCGAGTAGAATTCTATAGCCAATGCTTCTGGCACACAAACAAACGCACACAAAACCCCCAACCCGACACCCTCAACCCCACACTGTGCTGCCATCGCGGCTGCCAAAAAGCCCTGGCGAGCTCTGTAGGCTTCTGCATAGCTTAGCCTCAGGACTGACTGACATCAAATATCTTATTAATAGAACTATTGTCATCAGTGTTGTTCTTGTGAATACTATTCGTATTATTTATGTACAATATTTGCTACTGTGATTGTCATTCCTATTGTTGTCCGTGTAAAGGGGCTCTTTAACAGAATTCGGGACACACTCCCAACAACAACTGCCTGGAGACGAAACTGAACTCCAAAACTAAAAACCACTCACCCTAATCCCCAAACCCTTAAACTTTAATCCTGAACCCCTGAACCCCAAACCCTTAAACCCTGAACCCCCAAGACCTGAAACCACGGGAAACGGCTAGACAACCTGACCCCCAAAATCATGGGCCATCGTGCAGCTCACATGGCTTCAACACCAGAAACCGGGCCGAAGGCTGGAGACCCCAACGAAATAGGTTATCTAATGAACTTCCTTATAAGGGGGTTTCCGAAAATTAGGGGTACCTTATTTTGGGGTCCTGATAATAAGGATCCTACTACTTAGGGTGCTATACTAGGGTCCCCCATTTCCGGAAAGTCCCACAAAGGAATGGTACTTCTTGAATTTCCATAGATTTTGTAAGCTTTACAGGGTTCGTGAGAGTGCCTGAGGCGGTTTATACCAGTTTTGAAGAACCTTGCCTTAGATCATATCACGGATCCTTCTTTAGTGCGGTAGACTATACTGAACTTAGAACCCTAGCAACAATTACAATTTTAGCTGTTTCTTAAGAATTATAATAACCAAAAATTTAAAAAAAACTCTAAGTACCCCTAAATAGATTGCTTGGTGCAAAAGGTTTTGGAATCTCGGGCGGCCGGGGGGTGGGGGCAGGCGGCGGGGGGTTGGCATTTAGGGAGTTTGGAGAGTTTAGAGTCTAGGGTTTAGGGGTTTTAGGGTTTAGGGTTTTAGGGTTTAGGGCTTTAGGGTTTGAGGGTTTTAGGGTGTAGGGTTTAGATTTTATGTCTGCTGAGCTCCTTGTAGTCCAAACCACCCAGAAGGGCTTTGGGCTGAGATCGTAGGTGTGACAAGGATTTTATTTCGGGGACTTATACTTTAGGCGTTTAAGATTACCTGCTTGTTGGGTATCATGGGGAACTAAAGGTTAACCTTTTTGGTTATATCGGGATTATATAATGGCTATGATTTAAGGTTACGTGCTCTGCTACTACCGTTGATGATACAAATCCTGCATTACCCATAGTAAGGAATATACCATAATTCCCATATTTTAGGGTCCTTAAGGTAATGCAGGATTTATATCATCAACCGTAGGATTAGCTTTGAGGGCTGGGGGTTTCGGGATCAGGGAACAATGGATCTGAGGCTGCAGGGGCCGTTGGGGTTGAGGGTTGAGGGTTTTGCTTGGGTACGGCCCCCATACAGTAACAGTCTATAATAGGGCTACTGTTAAGGTCCTTATATCTCTATATTATGAATTATTCTCCAACTGTTACTGAGTGGGGGCAGTACCCAAGGTTTTGCAGTTGAAGTTTGGTCAAACCGAAACCACATGGGAGTTTCCGAAAATTAGGGGTACCTTATTTTGGTGTCCTCATAATAAGGATCCTACTATTCAGGGTACTCCATAAAGGTCCCCTGTTTTCGGAAAGCCCCACATGGTCTATCATGAGAATGAAGTCAACTCACCCGTGAAAAGCTGTATTCACAAAACACATAAACGGCAATCCTCAGCCTTAAACCTCAACCCTGAACTCTCGACCACAAAAAAACAAACCACAACCTGTAACTAGTTCATTCATGGTCGGGATGGGATTAAAAATTTACATTCTTATTCCTTATTGGGCTTAAGTACCCAAAACAAGGTAAAATGTTACCCAACTATGACAAAGGTAATAGCCCCCAGAGAAAGAGTCTCATGACTACTGATGCGGGCGCGTGTGAACACAAGGGCCAAGCAATGACATCCCAAGTGACGATGGCCCTTAGCTCTATTCCATGCCAGTTCACAATCCCCACGGGTCCAAAGTACTGTTATGGGCTAAGTTATGGGGGATATTTCCCCAAATCATAATAGTAATTCCTAATATAGAAACCCTACATTCTACTATAAAGGTACTTTGGACCCTTTGGGAATGGAAAGATCTGCCAAGCTTGTCAGACGTCGGCCCTGAACCTGAAATCCTACACAAGGGGGGCAAGGGGGAGGGGGGTAGGGGGCCTTGCCTATAATAAGGACCTAATAAGGCCTGTTTTAAGGAACCCCGCAAGGGTCCCTATGATAAAGCCAACTGATGTTAAGGTTGCCAGGGAGCTCCATGCCGTAGCTGCTCTCTGCACTTCTCTGGAGGCCCTCCTAGGATGAGAGCTTCGGGTATTAGAGCTTAGAGCTTAGGGTTTAGGGGTTAGGGTTCAGGGAATAGCGGTGTAGAGTTCAAGGTTTAGGGTTTAGGGTTTAAGGGTAGTAACCCTAAGCCCTAAACGCTGAACTACTGCATAGGCCAGGACGCAGCAGACTGGCCGTAGACGAGTCCGAAGTTTACGGCCTTCCATTTCTCGCGTCTCTTCGATTCTGGTGATACGGTTGATGATATAAATCCTGCATGACCTTAAGGACCCTAAACTATGGGAATTATGGTATATTCCTTATTATGGGTCATGCAGGATTTATATCATCAACCGTAATTAGGCTGGGATCGAGGCTTTCGGGTCAAAAAAGCTGGGGGTTCAGGGTTGGGGCCCTGACCCCCTAATGTAGGAACCTGATTAAGAAGCCTTGCGCCTTTTTTTAGGGTTCCTTGTATGAATCCTACTATTTTGGGGTTATAGGCCCATGGTTTCATAATCAGGTTCCTACATTAAGCCCTAAACCAAACCTCAAACCCCAAACACATGTACCGTTCTTGAACCCTTCGATTTCATGGCAGCCGACACCAGATCCCTGGCCTTGGCAAACTGCCTCTGCTCGGTGGATACCTCGATGCTTTAGGCATTTAGGAATCCGGGCAGGAATGGTAAGGCCGGCAAGGCATTGAAAATGGCAGTCCAATGCGTAGAACAGGGTGTTGCAGGGAGGTGGTTCCTACTATACTACTACTGCTACCACTACCACTACCACTACCACTACCACTACCACTACCACTACCACTACCACTACTACTACTACTACTACTACTACTACTACTACTACTACTACTACTACTACTACTACTACTGCTACTACTAGCGCTGGCATTGCAAAGGCAGACGCAAAGACTTTCCTGAATGCCTCGGGTTTCCCGCTCTCAAAACCTAGTACAGAAACCCCCAGACCCTAGACTAATTAACTATCTAGGCCCGTCGACAATATGGGTGTCGTTGATGGCCTCTTCCGTGAAGCAAATGGCTTGGCCTCCTAATTGAGGCATATACCTTGAATCATTTGACAGTCCGGAGTCCGTGCAAAAACTTCAGGTACATAAATCGTTACAGGTAACTATAGTTACCCTGCTCGTCAGGCCACTTATAACTACTCATGAACCACCACTAGACCCAGGAGTAACCTGGTAATAAAAAGGGTGCCCTTTTTGGTTCAAAGGGGGTTTATAAGGGAATCTGAACCCCAAAAAAGGGAATAAGGGCTTACTCTGGGTCCTAGACCAATTACATTGCCTAATCAAGGGCCCCCGGAGCCTCCTCCGGGGCCACGCCGCTCAGGAGCGCAGCAGTGGTTCTGTGAAGGTCCTGCCCCGCTACTTGGAGGTTCATGAGTAGTTATAAGTGGGGTTATAAGAAGGGTAACTGTAGTTATAATTGGTATTATGGGACTTATATCCCCACTTGTAACTACCCATGAACCTCCAAGTATCTCCGCAGGGCTCTGATGAGTTCAGAGCTCATTCGGGCTTTGGGTTTAGGGTTTGGGACCCCTTAGAACCTATCTGACCAGGATTCCGCGGGCTTGCAAGGGTCTTCCAAGAACGCCCACTTTGCTTGGCACGTCAGAAAAACTCATAATGATTCACAGGTCCTGTCTGAAATACAGCGGGGTCCCTAATACGATTTACTTCAACGGCCACGCAGCATAGACTTTGGCCTTGCAGCTGGCAGCTGGCTTGCAAGATGAAAGCTCCCTCACTGCCTGGGTATCTACAGTAAACCCCATAAAGTTGGAAACCGGATTAAGGCCAAATGGTGCTGGGATTCCCTTTACATTACTCTCCAGGACTTAGGCTATTGGGTTTCCAACTTTTGGGCTTCTACTGTACCGCATAGCTAGAAGTAAATATTCCTTGAAAGGGGCCGTATCATGGAACCCTAAAGTACCCTCAAAGGGGACCCTGTTATGGAATCCTATAGTGTCCTTCAAGGGGTAAGGCTAAGGTACATGCCAATGAAAGCCTTGCAAAACCTCATCTGAGCTCAGACAACATAATGTAGGGGCCTTAATGATAGAATAGGGTGTTTTCGGGTTCCTTAGTGTAATTACCTGTATCCCCCAACCCTACAACATAGTAGGTTATGACCCCTTAATTATAGGGCCCAACCGCTAAAACAGTAGGTTTTGGATCCCAAGGTATAGTACAATCTTGAATTTTGTAATTTTCGTATAATCTACCCCCGAAACCCCATTCTAATTATTAAGGCCCCTACCTTTTAATCAAATCGCACGAGACCTCGAGCCATGAAACCTATAGAAGACCGAAGGAACTTGGGCACTGCCCCCACCCTGTCACGGTCTATACGACCCTAGAATAGTACCCTAAATAGTAGGATCCTTATGATCAGGAGCCCAGAATAAGGTACCCTGATTTTCGGAAACTACCATATTAGGGGTCATATTTAGAGCCTTTTTTTATCTATACAATAGGTCTATTCAACGGTTACTGAGTGGGGGCAATATCCAATAGTAAGATAGAACCCTCATATAATACCACCATAGACAGATCAACACATCACAAACCAAAACCCCAAACCACATATACTTTAGAAGGGGCCGACACCCTGTAATAGTGATCATAAGGATTAGGGCCCTATCATATTCCTATTATACCACTCTTACAGGGTGGGGGCCCCTTCTAACATATACTCCTCGCCCCTCATCTTCTCCCAGAACCCAAATCCAAAGCCCTCACACCTCAAGGGCCCGAACCCAACACCCAACACCCGAAACCCGAGAGCCTAAACTCTGAACCCAAAACCCTAATAGTAATAGTAACAGTAATAGTAATAGGAGTGATAAAATAGAAATAGTATAGTAGTAATAGCAATGGTAACAGTAAGCTCTAAACCCCTAGGACCCAAACTCTAAACCCAAAAGAGATCAAAACCCTGAACTCTCAAGCTTGATTCAGAGCTTGCCACGCCTCACCAGCCCGAAATATGGCTCTCATCCTCAGCTTCGCATGAGCTTTCCCAGACCTCCCAAACTATCCTAATTCAGGACGCTAACTTGAATTTTAGCAGGATCCTGAATATGATTTCATGTACCTTCCTTAGGGTGTTTAGGGTTTATAGGGTTTTAGGGTCTAGGGATGGAGATTAGTGCATGTAGCAGATGTCCTCACCTTCACAGCCTCATGATTCAAGCCGCTAGATTAAACACTAAGCCCTGAACCAAAACCCTAAACCCACTATGGGAATCCTATAACACAAAAGCACTAACGCCCAATAAAACACGTCTTGGACCCTAAACCCGAAACTCTGCAACTCCTACATCCCTAAAAAACCTGAACCCAAGACCTAAGTAAAGCCTACCCCCCCCCCCCCCCCGCGCTCTCCCTCCCTCCAAAAAAGACAGCCAAAATCGTAATCCCTAAACCCTAAATCCCTAAACCTCCTAAAGCCCGACAACAAACAGAACGAAAACCTGGACTGTGAAGTAACCACGGAGAAAAATGTATAGACCTTGATTTCCGAATGGCTCCCTTAAGGAACAGGTACCAAAAAAGTATTCAAGTATAGTACTCCGAACCCAGGAAACTTCCATAAACCCTAAACTCTAAACCCTAAACCCTGAACCCCTAAACCTGCTAAAGCCCAACAACAAACTTCCATCCAATCTAAGAAGCTGCTCGTCTGCAGCCAGCTCGGCCAGCACCCGAAGCTCGATCTGCGAGAAGTCCCCTTGCACCAGCCAGTCCTGGAACTCTTGAGCGGAATAGGTTTCTAGGCTTTTTTAGGTTTAGGGTTCAGGGGTTTGGGGGTTTAGTGTAGTTTTGGGTCCCATTATAGTACAAATTATAACAAGGAGCCCCTCAAAAATAGTGCTCTTGAGCGGAAGAGGTTTTTAGCTTTAGGGGTTTAAGGCTGAGAGATTAGTGTTTTGGAACTCTGAATTGGACTATGGATGAAAGTTGAACATAGTCTTAAAAAGCGTTTTGCTTCAGAGGGTGGAAGGCTGAGGGCTTGGGATTTTCAGTGAGCATTTTGGCGATGGCTCCTGCACGACGGGTGTACAGGAACTTGAAAGGCTTCAACAGAGGTTCTATAGTGTTTCATCGTCTGGGTCTAGAAATTGTCGCTTACTTCGAGGCTCAGCCGACTTAGTAAGCAGACATTCACCGGTGCGGTCCGTGATCCTGTCAGCCCAAACACCTAAACCTCTTCACACAATGTAAGGGTCGAACACAACCTGCAACCTGTGTACGAAGTCTCAGGTTGAGGGCTGACTGACACTCCTTCGGAAGGTGGAAGGCTGTACGGTGAACCTATGACAGGAGCTACCTACTTCAATGGGTCATGTTGAAACCAACTTGCTTAGGGATCCTTGCGTTGGTGGTGTGTGTGCGTGAGAGAGTGTGTTCGTGTGTGCGTGTGTGTGCAGGGGCAGGTGTAGGTGTAGGGCAACAACACTGCCAACAATTCTGACGATAGTAGTAGTAGTAGTAGTAGTAGTAGTAGTAGTAGTAGTAGTAGTAGTAGTAGTAGTAGTAGTAGTCATAGTTATGGCTCTTGTCGTGATGCAGGCCCACGAGTTTGACGTCAAGGTTCCCAACCGGGGCGAAGACCGGCACGGAAAAGACTTCGAAACTCCTCTGATGTCCATGTCTATGTCTATACTTATGCCTATAACTTAACCCTTGTGATATCCGGTAGAGGTGATCAGGGCTTGGGGTTTGAGGGTTGCGGATTTTTGGTCTTGGGGCTTTAGGGTTTTAGGTCTTTTGGGGCGATAATGGGTTTGGGGTAGCGCCAGGGCTGAAGAGGAGAGTTTAGGCAGTTCAGGGTTGGAGTGGCCGCGTGCCCAGAGCAAATAGAACTATGGGAAAAGATCTCTTTGTTGACTCAAAGGGATATTCAGAATTTTGGATTTCGAGAAAATCTGTACAAAGTCTGCTTGTCTCTTGCCAACCACATACTCTACGCTGACTGGCCCCTTCAGTGCAGAACGCAAGGGGAGGGGTGGAATATGGCGGTTTGGCCAAATAGCAGACCCCAACACAAACATGGAGAACGTCGTTCTGAAGACTCCAGGACTTTAGGTGGAGTTGTAAGTACCCGCATTGAGGTACTTAAACCTTTACATTAAACCACCTTACTAGGTCTAGATCCTGCGAATTGAATCCTCCGGCCGGTGGTTTGTGTGGGCCCTCCAAATGTGAAACGTCCCCCTTGTCATAAAGTGGTCTAAGGCATCTAAGCCTTTTCTGTGGTTATGAACACGGGCATATTAGACCTTGGATTCTTTCGGCGGTGTTTTCATTCAAGATACGCTCTTAATCTCAAGAGCTTGAGATCTAAAAGCCTTGCGTGTCGGAGAAGGTCAACCCCAAACCCCTATTAAAATCTCACAGAACCTCTGTAAGCCGCCTTTTTAAAGCTACTGTACTTATACGACACCGCGGAACCCTCATGAAGTAGAAGCCTGCGAAATTACCAACATCTGCGCCTTAGGCTTGCTTACTTGTTTCTATTGGAAGCTATGTAAGAGATAGTAGCTGTGTCTTTATTAGGGTTCTATAAGGGTTCCTTTGAAGGGTACTATAAGGGCACTATACGGGTTTTGGTGGAACCTGACTAAGTTAAGAAACCTTGCTGGGCCTTTTCTAGGGTTCCCTGATCTTGCTATTTTGGGGGGATATATGCCCAGGGTTTCTTAATCAGGTTCCTACATTAGTATTGACCACAACCCTCTTTTTGATTATGAAGGCCCCTATGGAAGCCCATCAAGAACCCTTATAGAGGCCCTGTAAGACCAAATAACCCTAAACCCTAAACCCACTCTCACTAAGGCCTCTCTGGAGCCCTAAAGACATTCTCGAACAAGATGGACACCTTGTACAAGCTTATAGAACCTTTTAAAACCTTAACTACTGGATTCCTAGGTTCCCCAGCAGCCCCTTAGCGGTAAGGCTACCCTTTATCCCAGTAGCCGGCTTTATTTCAGGTAGCCCAATAAGAAAAAATGCAAGACGGGCACTGCGTGAAGGCACCCATGACCCTAAACCCTCAACCCTTAAACCGTAAACCCTTCATTAACCCTTAACCCTTAAACCTAAACCCCTGAACCCCTACACTCCTGAACCCCTAGACCCTTAACCCCTAGACCCTTAAACCCTAAACCCCTAGACCCTTAAACCCTAAACCCCCTAAAACCGCTAGACTCTAGACCCTTAAACCCTAAACCCCTCAACCCCTACACCTCTAAACCCCAAACCGCTAGACCCTCAAACCCCGAAAACCCCTAGACCCTTAAACCCTAAACCCCTCAACCCCTACACCCCTAAACCCCCAAACCCCTAGACCCCTAAATACCCTAAACCCCTAAAACCCCTAGACCCTAAAACCCTAAACCCTTCAACCCCTAGACCCTTAAACCCTAAACCCCTATAGACCCTTAAACCCCTCCACCCCTAAACCCCTCAACCCCTACACCCCTCAACCCCCACACCCCTAAACCCCCAAACCGCTAGACCCCTTATAGGAACCGTTAGGGGACCAAAGGAACCCTTAGGGTGCATCCCTTTAAAAGGACCCCTAAACCAAGTATATCCCTTTAAAGGGGACCCTAAGGCCCTAGACACCCTAAAACCCTAAATCCTGTAGATCCCTTATAGGAACCCTTAGGGGGCTTAGGAGCATATCCCTTTAAAGGGACCCTTTAAGACCCCTCGACCCCCCTAAAACCCTAAACCAAGCTTAAACTCCCCAGACCTTCCAAACTCCCTTAATTAAGGAATATACCTTAAATCATATTAGGGGCCCTATTATAATAATAATTTAAGGTATATTCCCTAGGATACCCAGTAACCTAAGAATAAAAAGGCCTCTCTTTTTGCTATTGGGTACCTCGACCCCCTAAAACCCTATAGTAGAAGCCAGAAAGTTGGAACATCAGACTCCTCATGCCCTTAAGGTAAAGTATAAGGGATCCTAGCACTAATCCTCCTAAAGCCATGTTCCAACTTTCTGGCTTCTACTGTAAACCAAGTCTAAACTCCGGTTCCTCCAGGCGAGGACTGCTCTGAAGATTCGGATTGGCACAGGTCATTCGGCCGGTGACCGCCCCGGCCAGCCTTGGCGCTTAGGGCTTGGGGATGCTTGGGATTTCAGCGATTTGAAGTTTTAGGGCGTAGGTTTTGGGGTTTTGGGGGGTAATGAAGGTTTAGGAGGATTTCTGGATTTGGAGGATGGGGATGGTTTAGAGCGCAGGTTTAGGGTCGTCAGGTTTAGGAGGTGGGGGTTAAGGAAGTAGGGCTTAGGGTTTGGGGCTCTTAAATGATCGGATTCCTCCGGGATATATCGGGTCTTATCACACGTTTTCAATAACTCTGCGCTTTCTCAAGGCTTTGTAGGGTTTAATGAGTCATGGGGGTTTCTGTCTCAATGTCTTCTATGACACTAAATCCAAAACGGGGATCCTGACCTTTGAAGCCACATAATTATATAGGGGCCTAAATAAGCATGTTGCCGCTGTAGAACTACACGGGTTTACTGTGACACATGCTACTACTTGTTGAAGCTGGTCTAGCACATGCCCTGAAAAGTCTTCGGTTTCCCAAGAACGTGGGGTTAGAAAGAGTTTTATACGTCTTTTTACAGGCTTTTTGATTGAGGAAGGGTAAACTTCTTACGGAAGGAACCACTGTCTACATGTTCGATGCAAGGCAAAACCCTTCAAATGCAGTGTGTTTTTAAGCACTCTGTAGAGTGTCAGGGATTCAAGGAGTTCTTGCCCAGAAGGCCCAAAACACCTTGATTCCGCTTTCTATCTGAACATACATTATCGCTGGATCCAAGACCCTAGCTGCTATTCGGCATCTACGTGCTATAGAAGTTAATGACCCATGCGTTTCGGGATGTTATGGGGCCCTGGCCCACTGTGATGTATGGCTTGGAGCTGCATGCACGGAAATCTTCATAGGTTAAGTCGGTATTCCTCAACGAATCGGAAAGTCTGTGATTTCTCGGAGGAAGCCGTCTGAAGCCCCAAAACACACGAAACCCCAAACCCTCAACCTTCGCCTACCACTCCAAGCCTATCAAGTCGTCAAACCGATGCTCGGAGCCATTGAAAAAACAACGATTCTATCTCTATGGAACAAAATAAAGGAACGGCTCTGAGACTATGTGTATGGATATAGCTTTACATGGTTGCATAGAGGCCACGTGTGTGCATGCGAGTGTGTATCTCCGACAACTGCAGGAACCTCTCGAACTTAGGTTGAACCCTAAGCCCCAAACCCTAAGCCCTTGCACCGTCTCTTGCGTGATACACTTCTAAAACGTGTTCAGCCGAATCGCTGATAGCTTGGAAAGAGGCGCCCGCCGCCGCACTTCGCCAAGGCAATGTACCGCTCGTAGTGAGACAATGCCTTACCATACACCTTATATAAAGCCTTTATCCTCATCCCCTAAGCAACTTGGGCTCAATGTCGGGCGGGAGACTGAGGCACACCCAATATGACCAAAGGATGATTCAATGCATGTCACGGACAAAAAAAGCGTAGCGAGTAAGCAGGTGCATAGGTGGGCGATTCTCCTAACCCGAAACACCGAAACGCCTAAATCCTATGAACCACCTATAGGAAGGCCATTTTCAAGCAATGTAAGACATCACAAAAGACCTTACGAAGACCCCTATAGACAGACGGTGAAACACCGCATCAAACCGGAAGCCAGAACCACGAGCCTTAATGGCCGCTAACGCGAGCCCAGCTGCTTTCCACCTTGAGCACGAACTCCCCATGGACAACCCGGAGCATCTCAAAACTTTTCACAAGGCGGTCAGGACCCTAGTAGAAATGCAAACGACTGGGATGCTTGCTATAAGAACCCTGACCAAAGCACCAGTACATGTAAGAACTTCTAATAAACCCCATCTTCAGCCAATATAAACCGTTGAACTGCTCAAGCCCATGTCCCCCAAAAACCCGAAGCCGCAAACCTCTCATGGAACCCGATAAGCCCGAATATTGCACTGACGGGTGCATGAGACAACTCCCGGAAGCGCACCACATCTTCCTGAGCAGTTCGGCAATACTGTCGGGGCCCTGATATTTGGAATAAGGTTCCTTTAGAAAGTTCCTTTTCAAGGTTCTACAACGGATGTATTTAAATTTAAGGCTTAGGATTTTGCTAGGAAAGCAGCAGAGACTACACAGAGCTTGGGATGTATTATTAAGGTGTTACAGGGCATTATCGCGGTGCCATAGGGTTCTGTAAGGGCCTTAGAGGGTTTGGAGGATCCGAAGATTTATGCAGGTTTTGGGGTACATAGGCTGAAGCCTGTGGTCTCGGCTCTACAGGCTGTTGGCTGCTTGAGGCCTGCAGTCTTCGGCCTTAAACCTCGAACCCGACAGCAACGTAGTCATGTTATGGCGATGGCCAGGTATGCATGTCGATGGTGACGACAACGGAAGCAGCGCGGCAGTTCTGGAAAACAATGCAAGCCCGACCACAAGATCAGTACAAGTGCCAAACGTGCCACGACAACTGTTCAAAGGAAGAAGCGGTACCGATTCAGGTTTAAGGATTCCATATAAGGGCTTAATAATTTGGTTAGAACACGGTTGAGGTGTCTGCTTTGTACGCGTATATAGGGGCTATGGTGGCTGTGGGAAAATTGTTAATGCTTACTCAACTCAAAAAAACAGTTCGGGGTCTGGCATTTTTGGGGGATCCTAGAGGCAAGGTTTCCTGATTGAGCGGTAGAACATGTTGCGCTGCTTCAAGACAATAACGTTATTGAGGGCATCACGCAATCACGTCGGCTCCTCACAACTGTCTCAGTAATGACGAGGGGAGACTTGTTACACACGTCCGCCCATCAGTTTACGGCCTGTGGTACACAGTTCCACTGACGTTCCAACCGCATGTTGATCCCCATGGGCAAAAGCTGCCAGGGCTGCATCCTCTTCTTGGTCACGATCCGAAAGCAGCTGATTCAGGTGAGCTTTTTGTCTACAGCAGCCGGGTTTTGGGGCGCTGCAAGGCGTCAAGCTCGTAGATGTGGTTTGTCCTATGGCGCCTGATGGTCTTTGTAAACTCTCCAGGCGCGTGGTTGCTGCACATAGATGGCTCACTAGGGTCCGGCAAAGTTTGAAAGCAACGAAGGCACCTCTGTGATGGGACTTCTGATTGCCGTCCGCTGATGGAAGTGCAAGCTTCGGGGTGCCCAATCAACATGCCACGTATACCAGAGACAAGTTTGAGTTTGTTGTTAGTGCATCCTCTTGCAGTCACCCCCGGAAGAAATATTAAGTGTTCTTCTTCCGCAAATCTTGACCGGATGAGATCACCTTGCTGCTGCATGGCACATGCTTGTGTTGTGATATTCAATTCCCTAATAAGACAGGAAATCAAGAGGCAACTTGTACATCGAAACAAATTCGAAGCAACATCGAAAGAAAGTCAAATAATATCAGAAAATCGAAGTCATCGAGGCGCCAGAAAAATCAAAAACTAAAACACTAAGAAAAATCACAAACAGGTGCCGGGGACCGCAATGGCGGTCTCGGGCGCTGGGGGTTGTGTTCGATTTTTCTCCCATGGTACTCGGGGCAGGGACCCCAAAGGCGGCCTGTGGCGCGAGGTTGTGTTCGACTTTTCTCCCGGAAACCCTATATATCCCATACAAAATTCCACACTACAGAGAACCTCTCACACACTGCACGCCCAAAACCTAAACCCCAAACTCGCCCTGTAATGTCGCCCAAAACCCTAAGACACCGAGGCTTTCGAGACTCTGCCCACGGAAGTCCAGAACGACGAAGGGATTCCGAATCCGTCCGCAGAGCACCACCTGACACGATAATTGGAGTGAGGTTTGGACGGCTCAGTCCTGCGGTTTAGACTATTATACAGCTTAGGGATAAGGGAGTTTCCGAAAGTAGGGGTACCTTTTTTAGGGGTCCTTATAATAAGGATCGGGGTACTATATTAGGGTCCCCTATTTTCGGAAACCCCCATAAGTGCGTATCAAGCCTTTTCCTGTGTTGTGATGATTACGCTGTGTAAGGATTAGGACGTCAAGAGGCTTTTGGGTGAGATGTGAGGGCCTGGCACTGACTTTAGGCGACTTTAGGGCATCCCTCAGTCGAGCACGGAAGCCGTCCAATTCTTGACCTAAAAAAAACAGTGTCAAGCCTTCCGGCCCTAGATCTACGTCCCAAACCCCAAAGCTCTGGGGCACAGGGCTTAGAATGGACGGCTTGTTTTCTCTCCGCCCAGGCAACGTCGGGAATTCCATATTTCAGTCTTCAAGTTGGTGCATGCAGTATATTTGTCTGTCCTCTACTTGGAGGTTCATGGGGAGTTATAAGTTTCGCGGGATCGTATGCTATCAGGCCATATGGAGTAAAGTGCTGGAAGCCTTCGATAGCTGTTTTAGTATGGATCAGACTCAGCAATGAAGCGGTTTAGGGCATTGAAACCGCCCTCCGAAGCAAGAAATTCGGAAATCGAAAGGCGGCAATAGGGGAAAAAGTGAAATCGGGGGGCCTGAATACGTAGTTGAACTAGTGTTTTTGGGCCCTTTATACTGTAAGCATTAATAAGGAACCCGCAAAATAGTATATGTACTTATTTAGCCCTTATATTAACCAGCAGCCACATCTCCTCCGATGTTGACTGTGTGTAATACAAAGCGGTATCGATCGTCTGTGTCGAAGAGCACCGCCTTTGAAGTCTTAAAGGAAACCCTTTTCTTATAGAACCCCATAGTACCCTTAAAGGAAACCCTATTGCCAAGCTGTAGTTACCACCACCTTGTTGCAGAGTGAGCACGAACTGGTCGAAAGTCGCAAAGATATCACTCACAGCAGCAGATCGCAACAACTGCTGCTGCACGGACCAGTTTCGTATACTGATACGGTTGATGATACGAATCCTGCATTACCGGTAATAAGGAATGTACCATAGTTCCCATAGTTCAGGGTCCTTAAGGTAATGCAGGATTTCTATCATCAACAGTATGAATGATACGACCGAAGCAATAAAGTGAGCAAATTCCCATAGTCGTCCGGAGTGCTGTCAGCTGAGAGTCTTCCAGTTCCCCGCGTGACTGCTCACAAGTCGAATTACGGTTGATGATATAAATCCTGCATTACCTTAAGGACCCTAGACTGTGAGAATTAAAGTATATTCCTTATTATGGGTGATGCAGGATTTATATCATCAACCGTAGTACATGTGGGAGCTTCCGAATATGAGGGACCCAAAAATAGTACCCTAAATAGTAGGATCCTTATTATAAGGACCCCCAAATAAGGTACCCCCTAATTTTTCGAAACTCCCATGTGATGAATCCGGTTATTCACCTGGGGTTAGGATGACCTGTCTTCTTTCTGGCACGTAGATTTGCTTTCTATGAAGTACCACCGTGTTATCAAGATTATTACGTTTCCAGCTTTGGGATTCTGCTTCTGGTGCTAAGGCTCATGTGCGGCTAAGCGCTTAAACTGGGGCAACCCCATTTAGGGTTTAAGGTATATAGGCGAGTTCAGTGAGCGTCCAAGTCACCCCTTCTTCCTTCCAAGCCCTGAAGCTGTGATCCAGAAGCCCCCAAACCTATCCAAAGTGAGTTCTGTTGAGCACAAGAGAGAACGAGCCACCAACCACCAGCCACCAAGATTAGACTTGCTAACGCCGTAGGCTTGCTGCTGCGACATAGGACAATGCAGGATTCTAGGGTTTTATGAATTAGGGCTGCGCTGCAGGGCCTAAACGTGTTTGGGTTGTAGGGTGGCTTATGTTTAGGATTTAAGGCTTCAGGGTTCCCATAGAGTACCCTAAATAGTAGGATCCTTAATTATAAGGACCCTCAAAATCAGGTACTCCTAGTATTTTAAGGGCTTGTAGATTTCGGGGTTCCCGGATTCAAGGTGAACTTTGAGGGTTGGAGCTTTACGAAGCTTCAGCCTTCCCGGGGGTTTAGGGGTTTAGGGTTTAGGGGTTTAGGGGGTTTAGGGGTTTAGGGTTAGGGGTTGAGGGTTTAGGGGTTTAGTGGTTGAGGGGTTTAGGGGTTTAGGGGGTTAGGGGTTTAGGGTTTAGGGGTTTAGTGGTCGAGGGGTTGAGAGGTTTAGGGGTTTAGGGTTTAGGGGTTTAAGGGTTTAGGGGTTTAGGGGTTTAGGGGTTTAGGGGTTTAGTGGTTTAGGGGTTTAGGGTTTAGGGGTTTAGGGGTTTAGGGTTTAGGGTTTAGGGGTTTAGGGTTTTTAGGGCGCTTTAGGGTTGTAGAGCTTCAAGGTTTCGGAGAAGCGGCAAAAAACTGCCAAATCCCGGCCTGGGGTGCAAGGCCACTTTGATCGCTCTTTTGCACCTTCATGGGATGTGCGGACAGGACCCCGAGGACAGCAAAATGCTCAGTAGTTCCGGCTGTGCTTGGGATCCCTTATAGAACCCGTATCAGGAACCCTTTAAAAAGGGTAGTACTCCGGAACCTACTATTGAAGGTTCGGGGCGGGGCAGAACCCAGAGCTGGCTCAGCTCTGCTGTCCGACGCCCATCTGATGCCGGTTTAGGGTTTAGGGTTTAGGGTTTAAGGTTTAGGGCTTAGGGTTTAGGGTTTAGGGCTTAGGGTTTAGGGTTTGTAACAGTATGCGCGCGGTGGGTGCGCCTTTTACTTTAGGAATAGGGGGCGCACCCACTAATCGCGCGCTTGCGTCAGCATGTAGTCCCGCCCCAACCACCCCAACTATTCTCAATTAGGGTTTAAGGTTCACCCCCCAAACCCCCCTCAAGGGGGGCTTTCTTGCTCTCTGCTTCCTTTCGCAGCTTGACATGTAAACAACAATATTTCTCCAGAACTCAGGGCAGGGCAGGGCAGGGCAGCGCAGGGCAGCGCAGGGCAGGGCAGGGCAGCAGGGCAGGGCAGGGCAGGGCAGGGCAGGGCAGGGCAGGGCAGGGCAGGGCAGGGCAGGGCAGGGCAGGGCAGGGCAGGGCAGGGCAGGGCAGGGCAGGGCAGGGCAGGGCAGGGCAGGGCAGGGCAGGGCAGGAGGGCAGACCCCCAGGCCAAAGACACCAGTTTGGGGTTCTTCTTTATTGCCTGACGGCAAAGAAGTCACTCGCGGGGCGGCGTCACTACAGTCCCCGCATACCGGGAGGCTTTACCCTCCTCACCGTTCTGACGGGACGCTCGGTCGGGGACCTCGGTCGAAGCCTCGAGCGCCCATGTAAATGGTCAGCGGCGCTCTCGGCAGTTTAGGGTTTAGGGTTTAGGGTTTTTTTCCCGAAGGGTCCGTATACATTAGAAGGGGCCCCCACCCTGTAATAGTGGTATAATAGGAATATAATAGGGCCCTAATACAATCCTTATAGTCACTATTACAGGGTTGGGGGGCCCCTTCTGACATATACACTACGATTATGGAATTAGACCCCTATGAACGACCATCACCATCATGGTTTTGGGGACCTAATTCCATAATAGCAGTGTACATGGACCCTCTGGGATTGAAATACGGTTGATGATATAAATCCTGCATTACCTGAAGGACCCGAAGGTATGGGAATTATGGTACGTTCCTTATTATGGGTAATGCAGGATTTATATCATCAACCGTATGTCCGACTCTGAGACATTGTATGCACCACGTCCTGAAACTATACCTTTAACGCAACAGAATCCTAAACCTCAAACCCTGAACCCTAACCCCTGAGTCCATTTACCCTTGAACCCGACAGACGAAACCCCAAACCCCAAACTCATGTAAGGGGCTAAATAATTAGAATTGGGTTCTAAGGTCTATTATACAATAATTATTCTAAGGAACCGCTACAATAATATACTATAGTCATAGGAACCCCCAAAAATAGTATCCCCAAACTGCCGGGACATACTTCTGCCGAGGCACTAAGTTGCCGCGCGAGCAAGCCGGCCACTTGTGAATTACCTTCAGATCTCTTACGTCAATACAGGGTTCCTTTAAAAATTGCTCTATATACGGGTTACTATAAGGGATACTACAAGGGCTCTATGATATAGGGGCCTTAAATTAAGAATTACTGTACGGCTTTGGGGCCCATGCTACTATACTTATAATAAGGAACACCCAAAACAGTATTGGCAAGAATTTAGGTATCTTACATTACGGGGGCTTTCAATCTGCCTGAGAATATACCAAGGATTTAAGTGCTTCGGATCTACAAATTGGGAAACCAGAAGGTCGATTTAAAGGAGCAGACCATCCCAAAGACCAGAAACCTCATTATTCCAAGGGTGAAAGGAGGGACCCTTCATAAGGACCCCTAGGTATATACCCGTAATATAGCTATTATATACCCATTATATATCCCGTTATAGGGTAGGGGTCCCGACTACCCCTTTGAATAATTACAATCTGGATTCCACGACTTATGGATCTACAGTGGAGGGGTTAGCTTCGAGGAAACTCGTACCTGCGTCTGTTCGGAACATGGAAAAGGTAACAGTAAACCTGGCTGCCGGTGGTTGAATTTGGTGCCATCCCAAGAAGTTTCATGGCAGGAGGAAGGATCTAGGAACAGGGAATAAGGAATCAGAATTGCAATCGTGACAGTGAGCAGCTCCTGCCACTGATAATGAACTCAGAAACGACTTCCATCGCAGCGTTTTGGAGGGATGTTGGCCATGATGGGCAGACTATCCTTGCCGCAAGTGGCATAACCTGAGCCCCAAACTTCTCCCCTAAAGCAGTCTCTGCACCACTATCCAACAGTCAACCCCTCCGGCCACCGTTAACCGAAAATCCTGAACCCTAAACCCTCAATCAAGCACTTAACTGTAAATGAGGAATCCCAAATCTTCGAGGCTCGGCCTGAAGGAGAAACTTCTTCCTTCAACCGAGCTCATGAAATCCCAACCTCGCCCGTATCTTCTGTATGTCGGTTTATGTAGCTGTATATGTACGCATGCATGCATGTATGTAGGTACTTACTGGGTGGCGGTTCGGGCCGTGGCCAAAAATATTTTCTCTACTGCATGGTTTGGGTGTGTTCATGTGTTCATCAGACCAATAATAGTCAAATCAAACGGACGTGCCATCAGACCATAGACACACACAGCAATGGGTCCCACTGTTGGAAGTGTTCTTCAGACGACGAATACTCAGACTGGGCAGACCGACCAGCAGCACTGAAACCCAGACGGACCGGCCACGCATGTAAGTGGAGCCCGACAATTTGCGTTCATGACTTCTTTTTTCCCGTCTGACCAGCTGCTGTTCATGACTTCTTTTTTCCCGTCTGACCAGCTGCCGTTCATGACTTCTTTTTTCCCGTCTGACCAGCTGCCGCCCTGCTCACTGCTGTTGCGGCAAGAGGCCTGAGCAAACAGGACAGTGAGAAAATAGTCGTCCTACCATGGATCCCTCTCTCACAAACACGGTGCAGTCCCGCCTGGGGTTTGTTGTTTTCGTCAGGTCATCAGACGACCTGGCCAAACACAGGGCAGGCAACATATACCTGTGAGTGCGACCGTGTTGAAACGGTCCAACCTTGCCTGACTGACCAATCGTCCCAAAGGGACCTGGCCAGCATCATCATGACTGAACCAGCATGCGTAGCTGACCGGCTGACAGACCGATGCACTTTAATTATCATTTACTGCTTCTTTCTTTTCCAAATCTCACACACAGATGATGCCACTGCCGTGAGATGACTGCTGCAACAGATACTGAATCTGACCTTGTTTGTCAGACCAAACTCCTGCTGCAGCACCCTCCCCCCAAAAGCGCTGCCAATGTTGGCAAGAACCCGCAGCTTCTTCAGCTCAGTAGTCTGACCTGGCGCTCTGCTACTAGACCTTCCAGGCGGTCCACGTCTTCCTGCAACCTCTTGTTGCTGGCTGTCCTTGGCTATCACAATACATGATCATCATCATACCGTCTTCAAGACTGAAATAAAACATGAAGTACAAACAAATAATAAAACATGCGCCGTGGCACAGATCCTCCACTTCTCCGACCTTTTCGTGATACGCCTCCTTGAGGTGTCTGTTCGCACTCCTGAGTGACCATGAAAGCACTGAATAATAAAAAGCAGCCCTCGCACAATGCTCCACTTCTTGCTGCTTTCGACACATGCCGAGCAGCCCCAGCTTGAACACACAGTCCTCGAGCGTGGCATTTAGTCGGAGCAAGTCTTTCCTCGGAGTTACGAAATGAAAACTGTGTTATTGTTGTCGTGGCAGACTAATGATGATAGTCAGTGCTGACTAGACTCAGCCTTTTTTTGTCAGCATCCGCCTGCTCCAGTCGGGCCACAAGCTCCTTTTTCTCTGCTTCCAACTTCTCTATCTGACCGGCCGAACGACGGGATCTGACCTTGTTCTGGCGATTCTTCTCTGCTTGTCTTATTTGAGCACGCCTCTTCTCCGACACCGGCTTCTTCATCTTCACTTGCACCAGTTCCACGTCCTCCTCGTCCGACCCTGCCTCCTCCTTTACCGGGTCGAGCCTCTCCTGCTTGACAGGAACCATCGCACTGATGTTCTCCTTGTCATTGTCGGACCCGGACATGGCTGGAGACAGACAGACCACCAAGACGAAGTCTCGAGCAGACAGAAATTGGAAAGAGAGTGAGAGAAGCGTGTAGCGGCAGCTGCCTGTCATCATGAACAACATCACACACATGTGGCAGAGGCGACGGTCCAGCATCGTCTTTTTGTCGTACTTTGCATTTACTGCACACTGTAGCCTGCTCCGACCCAGCAGGCGCCCCGAAGGCAAGGCTGTGTGGCTGGACAGGTCAGGCCGAAGCAGAGTTCCAGTTGAACAATAACGAAATAATACAGTGTCCTATCACTATGTTGACGATGACGGTATTATAGCACTAAATAAATAAGAAGAACAGTCTTCGTCATTCATTGTCAATTACTTACCCACTACTCTGCCGTCAGGCCTGGCTGACGGCTGACTTGTCAGGCCTGCTGCCTTGTCTTTCTTTTCTTAGATGTCTTTGACATCAGACCCATGCTGCTGCGGTCATACTTTGCAGGAGCATCGAAGATCGCCTTGATCTTGTTCGCAAGACAGGCGTTGCATCAGGCGCTGCCTGACCAATGAAAGGATTCTTCATAAACCTTTCGCGGTCAAAACTGCGCACAGTTCGCAGAAACGCAAGAGCATCCGACCAGCTGCCCAGGAGCACTTGGTCAGGCCCCGTCTTCGTGGAGCCATTGGTGACGGTCCACTTGCTGCTCTCGTCCTTCGACAGAGTAGTCTTGCAAGGCTTTCGCGAACTCCTTGTTGTCAGACCGAAATCCAGGTGTCATGACAAGCTCCGCTCTGGTGGTGATGATGGCGGACCTGTGCTTCAAGATGTGCCCGCTTGGCCGGCACAACCTCATAGCAGCATACTCACGTCGAGACACGACTGAGAGACCATAGGCGACCATACCAAGCTGCAGCACAAGCAGTGCGCTGTTGGGTCTGACCTCATGGGCTCGGGCCATGTGCACGTCTCTGGTCAGATCATCGACGACCACCACGCTGGCGCCCTTGAGAGACTTGAAGTCTCTCGTCTGACCAGGCTTCCATCTGACCACAGCGGCGTGCTGCTTGTCTGGCCACTGGGTCGCAGTCGTCGTACCATCGATGACCTTGTACTGGCCTGCTTTCGATGGCACGACATGTTTTGTTGTCGGACCCAAAATCTGACCAGTGCGCCGCTGCTGCAGACACCCACGTCCGACCATGAGCTGCTGCCTCTTCTTCTGTGTCTCCTTGTTGAAAGCCTTGAGCTTGTCGTTGACATCGCGTGGTCGGACCAGGAGCTTGGACAACCGGGTTCCAAGAACCGATGTCTGACCAGCCCTCGCCCGTGGATCGCTCGGTTGACTCTCAACCAAGAGCTTCACGGACGCGTTGCGTCTCTCAACAATGGACCGGTCGGACCCCGGCTGGGGTGCTCTTTTGATGCCCTTGTCAGACCTGACACGGTAGACGCAGAACCTGCGGCCAAATCGTTCCAACCAAGTCGAGGCCCACTCTCTGGTCCAGTCTGTCAAACCCATATGTTCGGCGTCTCTCTTGCAGACCTGATCGAGCTCGGTTGGGCCATCGAGCACGATGCTCAGCAGCTGGTCGATGGTCGTACCATTGTCGAGCAGCGGCCCACAATGTTTCTCCAGCAGAGACCGCGTCCGCCCAATGTTCTGCTCCACAGCCACGCTGGTGTGCTCGACGCTGACATACCACAAAAGAAGAGGGCCACACCACTGCAGTTTGTTCACGTTTGTCTGACCCCACAGCAGACGATTGTCTGGTCTTTCGCCGCCGCTGCTTTCCATGAAGCGTCTGCGGCGAGGGAGCAGCTGCAGGGCCTCTCCGGCCAGCTCTTCTGCCAGCGCCTTCTCTTCATTGGGTCCGTCCGCCAGCTTCTGAGGCCTATATGCTCGCGCAAGGCGAATGGCCCGTCGGGCCAGGCTCTCTTTGGCTTTCTGGGCCTCCTCAATCTCACCTCTTGACATAAGCCGACTGACCTTGTCCCACTGGCCAAGATCGAAGACAGAGAAGTCCATGGTCAGGCCACTGTCCGGAAAGTCCACTTTCAGTCTGTCCTGGGCTGTCGCGTGGGGTTACACTCAGCAATAATAGCCCCAAAACTGCAAATCGACTAGTGCAGGCAAGCAACGGTCGCAGCTTGCGCCACTCTGACCATCGAGGAGCTGACAGTTCTGACCTCCTCCATGGCATTCGGGTGCCAGAGCATGTGGGCCTTGTTCCCCAACATGAAAGGTGGGCTTTCCTGACAGACCATGATGGCCTCAGCAAAGTAGCTGTGATTGCCACCATCTGCTTCAGCCATTATCTGACCTTCAATGTAGAGCTTCCTGATTCGGACCAAAAACTCCTGGACGTGACTTTTGGACAGTGACACATCGTGGTCGGTTTTCTCAAAAAGCTTGACCAGG